GCAATTGACTCCTCTTGGATTTGGTGATTTTTTGGTTCTTAATGCTAGTTGACTTTCACTAATTACATGCTATTTGGAATTAGTGACTTTGATTTAGGAAATTGTTATGAGCTTCTCTAGCCATTTCAACAATTAAGAAAACTCTAGGTAATCTCAAGCTCCTTGGATTACTATAACCAAATTAAGGATTTAAATCAAAGTATTGCACTATTAGATTCTAATAATATGTTCATCAAAAGTCAAAGTGAGGAAACTTTAAGTCAACCATCTCTCACTTATTGATTTTACATCAAATTCTTATTTTTGTTGCAATTGTCTATTTAAATCATAGTTAATTCTAGTTTGTTTCAAGTATTTCAAAACATCAAAACCCCTATTTTTAATTTATTGTTATATTCCAAGTATTTTTACAAAGAGATTTTTCATAGAGTTATCAAATTGAACCAATCTCCGTGGATTCGATCCCTTTACCGCTATACACTATTTTAGTGTGTAATATTTTGGGTTATTATTTGTGTTGGCCTCGACAACCACCAAAGAGATGTCAAGAGGAGAAGACCAAAGTCACGATTTGAGAGTGAAAATCAGAAGCAAAATATCATAATAAAAATCAAATACGTCTTTGATGTCGAGAATCGAGATTCACATCTTTTGATACCGAGATTAACGAGAAGTCAAGTACGTCGATTTGGTTCTGACACTGATATGGTGCCCTAACTCCCGTTATCCCAGTCTCTTATATGCGTACACTTACAACATCATTCGTTCTTTCCAAGCCAAATGTATGTTCAATTCCTTCCAGCCCACTAAGGTTAGCTAAATCATGAGGTTGGCTAACTTGGGCACCAAAAATTCAAAGTACAAAAGTTAAATTTTTAAATGTATACTCTATAGTATATACTCCAATAATTTTGGGCTGGTGCGATCGCCCGGATTGCCTATTGTCTATACCAGATCTTCATGTATCATTTCGTTATATTTATTTTGGTGTTGATAATAATGCCTATAAACTTTTGTTGTGTTAGATTTTCTATTGAGATTTTCTATAAGCAATGGTATCAGGGATTTTGTGTTGTAATTTTTATAATAGTAGTATAAAGCACCTTCCACGCACCCAAAGTGAGTTGGCGTATTTTATCACTAATATATAAGTTTTTATCTTTTAATAAGTATGTAATACTTTTGAGTTTGTCAATCCTAAAATTAAATTTAAAAGTCAGCCTATTTTTAAACAATGTCAACTCCATTGCCTCCGTGATACTCCCTACTACCTCATTTTACTATCAAAATCTACCTGTGGTTTTAATAATAATCAAATAAATCGATGTTGTCATGACATATGATTCAACTCCTATTTATGCATTCTTTTAAGGTATTTGGTTGTATATTTTTAAAAAGAAGTTATATTAAATTCGAAATCGTAAGTAAACTCAAATAAATATATAAATCGATTATGTAAGATGCATTTACTTTTATTTTGTCTTAATCGATAAACAAAGTTTTTCGCCTTATTAAACGCACAATTAATACATTTGACTTTTGACTTTTTAAAAACTGAATTTAAAGTCAGCATTCTCTTACAGAAAGTCCAATCCCTGCTAACTCAGTTTACTATAACATCTACGACTACGTGTGGCTTTAATAAAACTAGTGGGAGCGGTTCCGGAAGCACCATGACACAACTTAGTTGAAGTATTTTGGCCACGGAAACACTGCGCTGTGACGGCGGAGACGTGGAGTATGATATACTCGGCAGCATCTTGCCACCGTCCTTCAATGGTTTTTTTTTTTTAAATTAGTTTAGTTTGATATCGTATAAAAATACTAACCACCTCAATCATTTTATATCAACAAATACTTCTATCATGGCTCCTCAAATTCCTTTAAAATGTCATTATCATCTTCCTCTTCGTCACAAAATGAGTTGCTTATTAAGGTGATGTTTGCGATGAAAATGATGTAAAGAAAACTCGATATTTTAAGCAACATTGAAGCCGAACTTCTTGTTCGGATCGAAAGAATTGATTTGTTTCTATTGTAATTTTTAGTTCTAACGCTTCCTTAGTTATGGTTATGTTTTGAAAATAGAATTTCTTGTTTTGTATTTTTATTTTAAATTAATGGAATTTCAAGGTTTCAATCTAAATCAAATAGTTTAAAAAAAATACATAAAATTAAAGTGTGGTGACTCTTCGTCGCTGTAACAAACAAAGTTGGCTAATGTGATAAAAATTACAACTGCTTTTTCCATATATATATATATATATATATATATATATATATATATATATATATATATATATATATATATATATATATATATACATACATTTTTTTGAAAATATATTTTCACATAAAAAATATGAATATTCAATAAAATTGAACTTTTTTTGAAAAAATTCTTTTTTTTTAAATCTTAACATCGAAATATAAGTTATATTTTTATTTATTTGGAGAAAAAATTATTTTTTTAAACTTTTTTTAATTTTTTTAATTTAATAATTTTTTTAAAATCAGCAAAGATGTTCCTCACATTTTGAAATTGATGTTTAAAAAATTAAATTTTAAACAAATGCATTTTTAATGAATATTTATATAATTTTTGTGTATATGCATATTTTAAGAAACATATACACATGCACATGCATATTTACAATAATAATAATAATAATAGCAATAATATTGTTTCTATATGTATGCAAAAGAGTAAGCATATACATATACATATGATTAAATATATGCACATGCATATGTATATGCATATATATATACATATGCATCTGAATAAGAATAAGTATATGCATATGACAATTAAATACATATGAGTATGTTTATGTATATGCATATACATATACACATGCATATGCATATACATAAGAATAAGTATATGCAAAAGAATAAAATATGAATAAGTATATGTATATGCATATTCATATGAATAAGCATATACATATGTATATACATACGAAAAAGTATATGCATATTCATATAAGTGTATACTTATTTATATGCATATGCATATGCATATGCATATGAATAACTATATGATTATGCATATTCATAAGAATAAGTACATGACATATGTATATTCATATACATACATATGTATATTCATATACATATGCATATGTATTGTTACTAATTCGTTTGAATGAGGTAAGCTTCAGTAAAAAAGCAAACTTTTGATTTTATATTATGATCTTATATTTTAAAACAGGAGACAGTCTCTCCAAACACATATAGATTTTTTTGTTCATGGAGGTGAGTCACAAGAAGCAACAAGGATTTGATGTACAAATTTCTGTTTCACATGAAAATTACCAAAAGAAAGATTACTAATTAACACTCAAAGTAGCCAAATCCCAACACAATTTCATATGAAAAATAAACCAACAAAACATCCTCTTGTTGAAGCCAAAATGATGAATGTGGAATCTGAGATACAATTATGAATCAATCACCATAAAGTTGAAAGTAATCTGACAGTTTTTATCTATCATTGATTTTGAAATAACGTACAAAGAAACCTTCTTCGGGAAAAAGCTTTTCTAAGAAGCTAAGCTAATGACTATATATAGGGAAAATACATATATTGCCAAAAATACAAAACCCTAACAAGACTAAAAAGTCTTAAATAATTGACAAAAATGCCAAATCAGTTTCAATATCTCCAATACTCAATAATCTCCCCTAGATGTTGAAACTGATGAAGATCACGATTTCCAATCTTCTTGGCATTTCTCCCCCTAAATTGTGAGACTCATCAGAACATGGGGTCTTCAATGGTGTTAATTTAGATTACGGTTCTGTTATCTGGGCTTAGTTTATACAGAGCACCAGTTCGACCACTTGATGCATAGAAATTTTGTGTGCTCATTTCTAGTTTATTGTGGTAAAAAGGCATTGATGCAGTATCATTTTCCGATGATTACAGAATCCTTGATGGCGGAGATTCCCAAGCTACAAACCACAACCTTTCTAATGTCAGATCGATTAATTTCAATTTCGTTGGTTCCATTCCGGATGTGATGTTAGCAATAGTTCTGATGGACAATGACCTCATTAGAGAGTATCGTTTCTTGCCCTCATCTAGAATCTGACCAATCCCTGTAGAGATCCAACAGATTATTGACGTAGGAGATAAGCCAAAAAGAGGAGGAAAGAGAAAAGCAAAAGCTACTTCTTCAGAAACTATGAGAATTCCGAAGAAAACCATGAAACTTACTCCAAAACCCCAATCTCCATGTCCTATTCTCCAAGATGAATCAAAAGAGAGGACCATATCGGAAGTACAAGCAACAAATGAGCAACATCATGAGGAGGAGGATACTACCCACACTTCAGAACCTCCATCTTCAGAACCTATTCTGAAGGTATCGTCTTCTCCTTCCTCAGCTACAACCACCTTAGATATCTTTGACTCTATTACCCAAGAACCATTTCTAAACCTTACCATTCCACCTCCACCACAACCATCTAACCCTCCATCTGCCAAAACCACAACCCCACCCCTCACCAACACAATTATGATCGTATCCATTCCACCCTTACCCACAATAACCCATATTCAAACCTCACTTCCCACACTTTTAGTTCCACTTTCACTATCAATGAGGATGAAGACATCTTTTCCGGAGACGATCAATAAATATTTACTGATTTTGTCTTCATCCCTTTCACTATCAACGTCAACATTAATGAAGATGAAGCACCAATGACAAAGGGTCAATACAAGAAATTGAATGAGAAGCTTAAATTGATCCTGGAGCAGTCCAACACATTCTCTACAATAAAGTGGGAGAATCTGCTCACCACCCACAGGGCCACTATTGAGATGCTCACCACCTCAAATGCGAAAGTCATTGAAGAATCCTCCAAAGCCATCCATAATTCTGAAAAAGAAGATTTTTGAAGCGACCGAAAAAGTCGAAAAACTACATCAATAAGTGCAAATATTCAGGAATGATTTTCAAACTTCTTCGTACAAAAACACGGCTGACATGAACAAGGTGATAGAAGGATTTAATTTATCCTTGAAAGCCGAGAAGGATGCTCTATCAAAGATACGTGCAGACATCAAGGTTGATAATGTCGAACTGTATACTACCATCTCCACCAAGATTGAAAAGTTACAAGATGATCTTGTTATTGAAAATAAGATCATGGATGAATTAGCTGAGAAAACTCAGAAAACCAAGTTTTTGACTATCAAGCTGAAGAATGCTACCGAAAACATTGCCCAAATTGAAGAAGATAGATCTTTAGTAAAAGGGTGCATATTTGAAATTAACCAATATTTGTTTCAAATTGTTGATACTCGCGATTCCTTGTTCACTGTTTCTGTTCGACAGAATCTCTCAGAAAAGCTTCAACTTGTATTCATCATGCTAAATCAGATACAAGGTGTTTCGAGAAGTGGGACTTCTGCGGAACAAAGGGAGACACAAGGAAGAAAAGATAAAGGCTGAAAATGATCAGAAGGATAATGAAGCTTCTGGATCACGAAAATATAAAGGTAAAGGTATTTTGGAAGAAGAAATTGATGAAAATGAAAACTTGACTGAGTCGGAACGATCAGAAATAGATAAAAAAGACAAAGAGCTTGACGATCTCAATGCTCTACGGAATAAGTTTGAAGCAGAAGAAGTTGATGCCAAGAATGCAAAACTTGTCCTTGAAACTCATAAATATTTGTTTCTAGCTTGGTCTCCTGAACGCATTCAAAAAGAAGCCACAGATGATTCAAACATCTACTGGCTAGACCCTACAATATCTTTAAATTAATTAATGATGTGGAATCTCAATTTGATTTTCCCATCACTCCAAGGGCTTTTATCTTTCGGTGCTTCAAAACGACTGAGAAAACCATGATCCCCAATACTGCGGTAAACCGAAAGCTCTTTTCGTTTTACTTGAAATATGTGAAGCTGCAGTATGAGACATGGAACTTAAAGAGAATCCAGTTTAAAGGATTTCGAGGTGCTAATCACAAGCTTCATGAGTTCACTTTGGCTGAATTGCCAGTTATGAGCCCCTACAATTGGTTATCTTTGTTCCACATTGTGGAAAAGGATGTTCATAAATAGGAGCCCATCGTTGAACACTTGAAGCAAGTGATCAACTGTTATATTCTTGAATTTACGATAGCATCCCTTCTAAAGAAGAGGCTTGTTCTGAAGGCAAAAGAACAACCAAAAGACATCCAGCACTTGAAGGTAGGTATTATTCGAAATGAGCATTAAAGCATAGTTTACAAGAGAATAGAAGGTGAATTGGTTCAAAAATACATGTTCTTTTTAAGGTACAAACACCTATACTCATCATCAACTCTCAAGGCAATCTTGTCCTCTGTTGAAACTTACAAAGCCAATATTGTTGTTGATATAAAATGTGTTTTCGGATATGATACATTGGTATCTGTCAGTTCGTGGCTATCTTATAAAGATAATGTTGAAGATCTTCATTGCACAATGACATCCGTGAAGACCTCCTGCCAATTTGACACAAATGGGGAGATTGTTAAGTCTACATGTGTTGTGTCAATTAGTAGTGTTTGGAATTTCAGTGTACACATTCCGATTCCGAAATGGGTATGTCCATCTTCCGAATCTTAACTTAGTTTTTCTATAAATAGCACATTGTTCCTTTCCTTTTGTATCGATCTTTTGTAACCGTTCCAGCACTCATAGAATAGCTCCAAATTGCAAATTGTTCTTTGTGATTTATTATGGAAGATTGAGTTTGTTTCACTTTATATTGTTCTCGTTTACTGAATCGTTATAATATTTCATATTGAATATAGAATCTATCAGTCTTATCAAATAGGTGTCTAACCACAAAATTCACTACTTTTCCCATGTGGGATGGAGTGATTTTCGTCCAACCCTAATTGCATAAGTGTTTTGGAATATTTCTGATCAAACAACTATTGATTAGTTGAATATTCAACCCTTTGATTAATTAGATTGTTAATTAATTCCTAAAATGTATTTCTAATTAGCTTCTAATTAATTACTAACCATAATAATTAATAAACCAAATTCTCATTTTATTTATTCTACTCAATTTCGGTCTTTAGGGCAACCCAAAAGGATGTTATTGTTATTTGAAATATCACCACTAGTTAATGACCGTGGACACTCTTTCCAACACCTACATCCACTCATAACCCTTGTTGTGTTGCCACTACACTTTCACCAACTCAACAAGCTTGTTCCTTAAGGTTTTTTTCTACCAGTCAAAGATCGCTACTACTCCCTCAATATAATTTAGGAGATCATTCATCTGAATATCCTCTAATCGAACCATAACAGCCCAAGAAAACAAAAAACATGATAAAACTTTTCATTTTTAAACATGAGTTACGGTCATCAAATTGTGCCAAAAACCATCACATAGTAACAACATCAAATCATCACAATATCAAAAAGTGTGGAAAATAGTAAGGGGAGAATAATGTACCATCACGTCGGGCCCTTCTCCTTATTACCGGAAGTATCTAAAGCCATAAATATGAACTGTAAGCAAAAGCTTAGTGACTTTCCCAAAATATAATCTTATTATCAGAGTAAACATTCACAGGCTAACTAACTATGGTGTGTGCATTACAACCTCTCCAAGCTCCTCTTTTGAAAACTGAGTACTTGAAACCAAAAATTGAAAAATGTAAGCACGAAGCTTAGTGAGCTCCCCCAAACTACCACATACCATAAAAACATATAAAGCACATACTGGGCCTTCCCACTGCATCGGACCGAGGTCTAGACTAACTGGGGCCTTGCCCCCTTGCATCGGACTGAAGTTCGGAAACTGACTGGGACCTTGTCCCCTGCATTGGACCGAAATCCGGAATATTAGGGGCCTTTCCCCTTGCATCGGACCGAAGTCCGAACTAACTGCATCGGACCAAAGTCCGGAACTAACTGAACATAGCATAACATAAACATATCAACTAGAATGAACACATATACTGCATACTGCATCGGTTCGTAGCCCGGAACACATAACACATAAATCCTATCTGAGCCACGAAGGCATCAAACATACTAAATACTGCAACGGACCGAAGTCTGGAAACTACTGCTAGCTAAACGGGCTGACATTGTGGCCTTAGACCCATTCCTACTGGAAGGAAACTCACCTGGTACTGTTGAACTTGCTAGTAACCCCTCTGGATGCTGACCGACAATTCCCTGAACCGCTGCCCAACTAGCTCCCCAAGCTCCAAATATCAAAACATAAATCACTTAGCTTAACTGATCTCCAAAAGTCAACTATGTCTACTATGGTCAAAGTCAACTTTCCAGGTCAACCCTACTCGCCGAGTCCGCCTATTGACTTGCCGAGTTCATTAGCTCAGAATCCTTTCATTTGCAACTCGACTCACCGAGTCAGCCCCTGACTCGCCGAGTATACCGCTTTTTGAGTCCTAACCTGTTCAAGTCACTGAGTCCCCACTCAACTCACTGATCTGAGTCTTAACTTGAAGGGTTTGGGGTTTCGCGACTTGACTCGCCGAGTCCAAGAACAGACTCGCCAAGTCCAAGGAAATCTTCAATAGACTCGTCGAGTTGTTCTTCCAACTCGCCGAGTTACTGCCCAACTTCATCCAACTCCCTGGGTCGCTCCAATTCTTAATCCATTCAGTGGCTTTCGAGCCATTCCCCATGTAAAGTTGCAAACTTTACGTATAACTAAGGAGATCAAGGCTCAAAACACTACAAACTAGGGTTTAAGACAAAGAGGCTTAACAACCAACCCAAAGACTGATGCTTTATGATTTTCTAGGCCAGAATACACTTAGATCTGAAGTAGCAACTTCAGATTTGGGCTCCAACTCGAAATGATTCAAGGACATGGCATAAAATCCCCAAAACTCATAACCAAGATAGATCTAGATGCAAAGGAGTCCAAGTACTAGTTTATTACCTTCAAATGCTCTGAAATGTCTTCTTAATCCCGGATCTATAGCCCCTTCTTGCACCTCCAAGATCCTTCTTCCTTCTCCAAGCTTTAATGCACTCTTCAAGGCACGAATTACCCCAAAAACGGATATGGTGGCTAGGGTTTGGTGTTCTGGATTAGAGAGGTAGTAAAGGAACCCTAGGTAAGAAAATGAGACGTTTAAATAGGCTCCAAGTCCCAGATTTAGGGTTTTCCTCGTTCAGACCAAACTCGCCGAGTCCCCTTTTCCGACTCGCCGAGTCGGTTACTTGATTGATCCCCCGAATCCCGTTCCGACTCGTCGAGTTCCTCCCTGGACACGACGAGTTGACCCTTTGACTTAGGTTTTCTTTCCTTTCTTGACCTTTCTGATTTGGGTGTTACAACTCTCCCCCACTTAAACTAAACTTCATCCTCGAAGTGTGCTATGTCCAACTGACCTGCAATCCGCCTCCAACACACTACCTGGTGACTCTAACCCTTTTTTCCATTACTCCATCCACTCTTAGTGCTGGTCACTACTGCTGGTACATACATAATGCTTCTTATTTTCATAACATAGTGCTGAGCACCCGTCCCAGCGAATGGATCAGATAATCCTTCGAGTGAAAGATTCATCCCTACAACAGTTAAGACTCATACGAGAGCTGCGCAACAAGGTCAAACCCTTCCACCTAAGATTATCCAACCCTGCTGTGAGAGGCGTAGCACCCTCTGTCAACTTGCTACCTCTTACCATACTTCTCTTATCATTACTGCCTCTGACTGAAAATTATGTTGCCCTCATCCGCCTACCGGATGCACTGAGACCAACCTGGTATAACTAATCTGCCGATATCTGGGTTACCGTACTTCTACCGGTCACTACACCCCATCGCAATCTCCTAGTCACTTCCAGTGATTTCTGAAGATACTTCGACCATCTATAACAGTTCTATCAACTCTGCAAGTCATACTGAATTGATGCTGCTGGAACCAGCCTGCTTATCTTTCATCTGACTACTCAACTTCCAATAACTCGAATCTTCCATCCTAAAAGAAAGGCTACCTGCCCAATTATCCTTGCATATCACTTATACATGGCAGAAGAGTCAACTGATCCTGCTGAGAGGGACTTTCAATTTCCAAATCAAGCAACTATACCGTCAGCACTTGCATTCCAACACACATACTAATACTATCCATAACACTGAAACTATCTAAAACACTAAACTACCTGCAATACTGAACTTCCTGAAACACTGAATTGCCTGAAACACTGAACTAACTGAAACACTAAACTGACTGAAGTACTGAACTGGATGAAACACTGAACTGGCTGAAGCACTAAACTGGCTGAAACACTGATCTGCATGAAATACTGAACTGCTATATGGCTGCTTCCCAAAATATCTCAAGACCTTCCTGGTCTCCAATCATTCGTCGGTTATCTGCAACACCGAGTTCCAACTCAACTGTGGAGCCCAAGGACTCCTTACTTTGTCGCTCCCACGACTTTTGAACGAAATCTTTCTCTGTAACTAGTTTCCACTAGTCATCCTGACACTGTGACCCTAACAACCTCCTGCTCCAACCGACCGGGTCCATACATCGAATCTTGACATCATTAAATCCAAGACTAAAAATGATGACTCCCAGACTAACAGTAGCCCTTAACATACACGAACCCAAACAGTCCACTGCTTCCCTGATCTCATAACTGTGGTGATGATCCACTGACAAATCACCGACTTAACCATAACTAAACCATTTGGTAAATCCGAAATCTAACCCGTGGATTCCCATATCCTCACTGCTACACCCAAACTGGTGGGTACTACTGCTTCCCCCATGTCTAAATAACGCGCTCATGCTGCCTACCAGCCTGATAAATGCTACAACTACACCCACAGACTTACAACTCTCTAATACTATCTTGCTACTAGTGAATGCTACGGCTACCCCCGCAGACTTACAACACTATACTACTATCTGACTGTTATTGAGTGCTACTACTACCCCCGCAGACTTACAACACTCTACCACTATCTGACTGCTAGTGAATGCTACGGCTACCCCCGCAGACTTACAACACTCTACCACTATCTGACTGCTAGTGAATGCTACGGCTACCCCCGCAGACTTACAACATTCTACTACTATCTGACTGCTAGTGAATGCTACGGCTACCCCCACAAACTTACAACACTCTACTACTATCTGACTGCTAGTGAATGCTACGACTACCCGCGCAGACTTACAACACTCTCCTTACTAACTGGCTGTTGCTGAAAAAAATGTTGCGGCTTTCTCGCCGCTCCACCATGCTCTGCTGTCTATCTCTGCCACTAACTACTAATACAAAAGTATCTCTTGCTAACCGTTCTCAAGATCCTCGTTCCGACTCACTAGAGTCCTACAGATGGTCCTCCAACCTTGGATTCCCAACCAGCTACTAACCATCTCGATCACATGAACTAATTGTTAGGAAGTTCCTCAAACTCCCAACCTGATCTCCTCAATCCATCCATCGTTGTGCTACTATCTTTTCTTCTCAGAGGCCACGCACTTATTCTGGGTCTGCGTACTCTTACCCTTGTATACTCAGAGGGTTCTCGCCCCACTTAGATCCGGCTAACTCCTTACTGCTCAATGGTCGAAAGGATTCCCCAACCTTCCTTCCATGAAAAGG